CATGGATATAATCAGAGAAAAGGAGACATTGGTTCAGGCCAGAAAAAGTCATGATATAATATGTGGTTCAGAAACTTGTGTTCTAATCGTGGCTTTTCCACCATTTAGCTGATTTATTTGGTCAAGTCATTTAATTTTCTTGGTTTTCCTCATTGGTAAAATTAAAATTTGAGCCTTTGGTCAGACTTGAAGATTCCCTAAGTTTAAGTCTATACATGAGAGAGCTGCTAACTTAAACCTTTCTCTCAGTAAAACCCTTTTCCTTCCCTTAGACTAATGTGTGACAAAAAAGTGAAGTTTACAAATGCTCTGTAAGCAGGTTGAATGCCCAGGAAAACATTTGAAGTGGCAATATGTCAATCATTCAACTTTCTCTGCGTTCTTTGAGTAGTATGTACTGGGATACAGAAATAAGACTTACCTTCTCCTTTAAGATCTCAGAATTTATGGGAACAATTAACCAATTGTATACTTCATTGTAGGCTGTGATGGAACAATTAAGTTATTAATGCGAACAATTTAGGACATCAAGTCAGATTTGTGTTGGGCGGGAATAGTTAGACTGATTTCTGTTTAAATTATTCTCTGCATAGGTAATACGTTTACATAGTTCAAAATTCAAAATATACAAGTATAAATTGAAAGCCTTTCTGCCACCTCTGTCATTCTACCAAATTTCTGTCCTCAGAAGCAACCCATTATTTTGCATTCTATGGAAGCTAACTCTTGAGCTGAATCTTAAGAGTCATTCAGATTGGGTCACTAATGAAAGAAGCGGATGATTTTCCAAGTAGGAGAGCAGTTTTGTGTAACAATGTGGAAGAGTGAGACTGTCAGATGTGGAACATGATGTGATTAATTTGACAGTAACCAGAGTGAAGGGCTTAAATGTCACAGAAAGAAATTGAGATTTTAACATTTAAGTTTGTGATTGCTGTTAAAGATGTTTCTTGAAGCTTTTATTGTTTAAGTAGTATGTATCTTGGAACCATTTCAATACCCTTTTATAGTGATTATTGTATTTTTAATTAAAATCTTGTGATAAAGTTGTGTATAAGGAAATCTGGGGGAGATGTGAATCTCAGAGGTAGAATTCTCCAATGGAATGGACTAAATAACTTGGTATATACCTGGTTCCAGGTTTATGTATTCTGCTTGCCTTAAGTATTTTGTTTGCCCCAATAGTACCTTAATAATGGTAAAGTATTTGGTATATGTTAATATACTCTTATCAAAAGTTGATTTTTATATAACATATTTAGAAATCATAACCCTGTGTTAAACACAGACCAGGCTTAATTGTTTTAAAGCCTATGTATACATAATCTCATTTCATCTTTTCAGCAATTGTAGTGACTGTTTTTCTCCCCTTTTTAATGGATTAAGGAAACTGAGGCTCTGAGGATTTGAGTCACATAGCTATTAAGTGAAACAAGGCATCGGGTCAGATTCAGGTTTTCTGACTCCAAAGCCAGCTCTTGGATATTTCCAGGGCTAGTTTTATTACTTCCCAGGCTATGAGATAGGATAAAGGAAAAGCATCTGTAGACACTGATCTGTTGTGGTGTAACCTTTTACCTAAAGGTTGTTTTTTAAATCATTTAAAGTTTGTAGATGATAATGTTGGAGAGAAGGCCCTTGTTCCTTTGCTTACTGTGTTTCCCTGGTTTCTATTTAGAGATTTCTGAAGCTGATGTACATATATTTTTTCTTGCTATTATAGTTGGTAACCCTGCAGAGATAGTATCTTAGTTTAGCAGGTAGACATATGTCACATTTAACTTACTTTCTCAGGTATCATATTCCTGTACTTGGTAATTGTCATGACAGACTATTCAGTATATAAATTCAGAGAGAATGTTTATTGTCTGTTGGTTTTGAAATTTTTTTACAAATAGGAAAACAGTGTTTTCCTTTAGCATGCTGAAATAAATTCAGAGTAAGCCACACCTCAGTCTTTGAAGAAATGCTTATTTGGCTTTATATTTAAATTAGTATCTTATATTTATATATAAATACTTTATATTTAGTTTACATTGACATCAAATATGTTGTTAGAAAAGTGGTTTCAAATTTTATTTCTTGAGCAGAAGAGCATTTGTGACCAAATCTCCATAAAATTCAGTATTTCTAACAAATTTTTAATATCAGTTGCTGCTTGATGCCTTCACATATCATAGACTGTGAACTTGAAATGCTCCCCATTAACAGTGTTTTTTCCTTGGACTCTTGATTTCCTCAATTTTACACCATTCCAAAACAAAAGTCTTTGATCTGGCCCTTCAGTATTTACAAATGGCCCTTTTGAAATTCGTGATCAACTAGGTTTCATAGACTTGATTCCTTTAATCTGTGCCTGCTAATCAGTGTTTTGAGATTAATTGTTGCTATTTGCTAAAAATCTCTCAGTGTATGGATAACATCCCAGCTTAAGTGTTCCAGAAACCAAAAATTTCATATTTTTAAGACTATCTTAAATGTTTATTCCTGGAATCTCAGCTATTTAAAAATTTTTATACTGCATAGATTGTATAACTCCATATGGCTTATTTATTTTGAATATGTATGTAAAAAGCAATTCTTAACTGCCAGCTCTTGCAACCTAAATGTATTTGTTGACATGTTCTAAAGACTTCTAAGTACACTTATAGTATTGTATTTCACAGATTTTTTTCTTTCCTGCCCCCAGGATACACATATAACTGCAGATACATTCTTTTACACTTCTACCTTTGACTTATGAGAAACATTTCATTGTTAGTATCTATGCTAAAATGCTGGAATTTCATAACTAAAGTCTTGTGACTTTATTTAAAACCAATTTATTTCCATTTGGATTTAATTCAAATTAAATATGTATGTTTATATGTTTCCAAATTCAGGATCTAAAGATCTTTTAAAGTATATCACCCTTAAAAATATACTGTAAATGTTCTTTAATGAATTTTTAATTCCAGACTTGCAAATTAACTTCCAAGTTTACTCTTTGTTATTTTCTTATATTCACTACCTTCCTCTTTATGTTACTTTGTTAATTTTAAACCCAAGGTCTCCAAACAGACCTGTGTGAATAGCAAACTTGTTCCCATATGATCTTGGATGAGACTGCTAAAGAAAGCCAGATTGAGTTTTCAGTTGGTTTAGTTGGCTTTCATTTAATTCGGCAGACAGATTGTCTAAGTACAGTGAAAAAAAAGATGTAAATACATCTACAGAGGGTACAAGTTGTTAAACAAACAATAGCAACCTCTTAATTCTCTCTTGATATTAGTCGGTCTAGTCAGAGTCAGTGCCTTCCATTGCCTTGGACTTAGTCACGAGAAAAGTGCAGAAATAGAAAAAAGAACAGAAAGGAGTTGAAGTAGGGAAAGCGAAAAGAACACATACTGAAGACTCCTAACTAATCAAACAGTTGCATTGGTGACATGCTGGCATCTAGTGTCTATCTGCCTTTCTTAGTTTGGGATCATCTACCTTGCTGGTTAAAACTTAAAATGCCCCCCCCTTTTTTAATTCAATAGATAATATATCTTAACTTGAGTTTTGTAATCATGGAATTCTCTTGAGTGTTTTATTTGATGATCATTGATACTTGGTTGTTATTCCAGTGGAACTCGGAAATAGTTTTCTTATTGTACTAATAATACTGCAGACTCTCCTAAGGCACTAGTTAGATCTCAGAATTTCCATGTTGTATCTGAAGTTCATTTTGATGGTAAAGATAATAGCTGTCACTTACTGAGCATTGACAGAATGCCAGGAACTTTATATATAGTCTCAGTTCTTGAACCACCCTGCAAGTCTAACTGGTAATATCACCATTTAACTGATTAAGAGACAGACCTAGAAAGGTTAAAATTTAACTCTGTTGTATGCTTAGCATAGTAGTTTAAGAGTATAAATGCTGGGACCAGATTGCCACTTTAGGTTTGTGATGGTCGGCAAGTTCTTCTCTCTGATCCAATTTCTGTGTCCATGAGATGGGAATAATAATAGCACCTACCTCTTAAGACTGTTGTAGTATTGAGTTAATAAATGTAAAGCACTTAGAACAGAGTCTGGTATGTGATAAGCACTTAGCTTGCTTATCCTTAGCTTGCTGCTATTATTCTGCTACAGCATGTATCAGGAATTATAGAAGTGACGTGGCAAGTGTACAGGTTGGGAGTTGGGGAGACTATGGAAATATGCCGAGGTGGCAGAGAAACTGTTGGAAAGCAGGTTTGTTGAAAGGTAGTCACCTGAGAAACAACTTCTGAGATGCAAAGTGAAACAAGCGTGTCGGAAGCTTGCCCCATTAAGATTCTGTAGTACAGCCCTAAGGGACATTTCTCCAGGGAGTAGTAGAACTGGATGGCGATAAAGCGCATAAGCTCTTACCCTTTAAAGGGACACTGTGCAAATGTGAGAAATTAGAAAGCTCCCCTCTAGTTGCAGCACCATTCTTTGCCTTAACCCAGGGAAACCACACATAAATGGACTCTGAAGGTGGAAGTTGTGCAGCGTCCAACCCAGAAAAGGACTCGGTCACCATCAAATCCTATCAAGTCGGTCCTGTGAAGAATTTTTATATTATGAAGGTTTAACTTACTTTATGTGAACACTATACCTGAGAACAGCTTTGTTAAACTGTTGATATGTGTAGGGATTTATAAAGGCATCTGATACAAAATAGTTGCTAATTAAGCTATGAGTTGATCACGCTCATATGCATATAAACATACACACACACACACAACTGGATGCTAGTTAGTATTTAATTTTATCTATATTACCCCATTTTTTCCTGCATTGTTGTCAGGGTCTGCTGGATTTTGTCCAGCTTTTAAATTTCTTTTGAAATGTTTTTAATCAAGCTAATTTGGGTGTTTTTTGTTTTTGTTTTTAATTAAAGTGGTTGCACTGTGTTAGAAATCTAAAATATTCCTTCTTTTTGTGAAAAGTAGTGATTTTACTGTACTTTCTCAACTTCATTTCCATTTGATTCTTGGGTCTCACAGGAATCCTTCAACTGCTTTCTACCAAGCGTTCCATTTGAACACGGTTCAGGAATCAAAGAACCTCTGGGATAGGTATGAATACTTGCATATGAAATGCATACATGCAACAGTGTATGCATGAATTGCTTTGCACTATATACTGGTTTCTCATCATTAAAACTGATCTTTATTATTTGGGGGGGGGGGCGGAATCACATGGTATCTAGCATGAGACAAAGCAGCAAAATAAACCAAAAGGACAATATATTTTAAATAGAATATAAACATACTATCTTTGCATTTTAAAGTATGTTTTTGAAGGGCTTACTCTATTGGATTTTATTACATGAAATGTCCCCTTACCCATGTGTGTTTAATATAAAAACATGTTCTATTAAAAAAAAAACTACAGTTAACTTTGTGCTGTTTTATATAATTTCTCTCTAAAAAGCCTTAGTGACTCAAAGCAGAATGTTATTTCATGTTAAGAAATTGGGGAAGGGAAAAGACTAAGGTATCAAAGTAGCAATCGTTTAATTCTTGGCAAGACATTTTAACCTTAAGATTGTTTGGTCACTATATCTGCATTACAGTTTTATAAACCCCTAAAATAGTTTTTCTCACAGAAATGTATAAAATTTTTTTTGTAACTTTTTAAAGTATAGACTGAAGTCTTGGACTTCACATATGGCAAAAGATACTTTGGTTTATCTTTCTGCTTAATACACATTTTAGATAGTATATGCTCTGTTCACTTATTTTGCTGAATATTTATTAGCACTCCATCAATCTGTGTCTCATTAACAGAAGCTGAGTGCAAACAATGTTTTTAAAATTCACACAAAGCTTTGTTAAATTCTTTTAACTCTGCCTGGCAGCGCATTTGTGTCCTTTGGCATAATTTAGATAACACTTATGGACTCAACTCTATCTCTCATTAGAATAAAGTATTGCTGCGTGCATGTACATGTCAAGCTAAGACATGGTCTGTAACAGTCTTTTAATTCTTAGGCTTGATTTACTGTATCACTCAGGATATTTTCTAACTATCTTTTTGATAATGTGTTCCTTACTTAACTGGAAATGCCTTTAAGTGGTTGCTTGTAGAACAAGAAGTTTATAATGTATAGTGCTGTATTTGTAGATTCAATTTTTAAATTGTACAGCTATAGCAATATCAAGACATAAATGTAAATTGTGGCATGAAACAGCATGAAGTTTTAATCATTCAGATGGCTTGCCAGTGTAGCCAGGGTGAGTACTTTGGGAATGTACTTTGTAAAAACTTTTCCCTTAGAGAAAGGAAAAATCATACTCTTCTTAGAAATGTTATAAAATGTTTTTTAGATATGATAATTTATTTGAAATAGCTAACTTTCATGAGCTACCATGATAGCAATATGAATAATACACATTATTTTCATGGAAATGATGTAGAAAGGTTTAAACTTTGTATAATTCGGATCTAATTGAGAGGTTTGCTGTCATTACACAGCAGCCACGGAAGTTGCTCCCTCGTCGCCCGTCACCCTAAATGCTCCTCACGCTTTCTTCTTTAGATCCTAGAAATATTTAAGGTGTCGGAAGTGAGGCAAGTTGCTGTATCTGTAGTTTCTCATGGATTGAAAATACTTTCTCTTCTCCTTGGAGCTCTTTTGTCCAGAGCCAAGAAGTGCAATGGATACTTGGAGAGTTGTCTGTAGTGTTTTAGTGCCAAAGTGTAATCAGAACTTTCATTCTAGATCAGCCATTCCTCACTGGAAATTGACTTGTTGTTACCAAGATGATAAACTCAACCCTGTGGAAACTGACTAGTTTCCTTTTAGCTCTTCATCTAGCTTAATTTTCAGTTGAGAAGAGGAGTAGTGGCTGGCTTTGTTAGTTCTAAGCATCCACAGCTTCAGTTAGGCACCTATAAACTTTTTAGTAGTTTAATACCTGATAAAGTATTGTGGGACTGTTTATTCTTCTTCATTGCAGACAGATTAATGTGTGTTAAACTTTGAAAAAGGTCTCACCAAATTGCCTTGTTCATTTTTGACTATTACAAATTTAAGCTTTTAAAAATATTACTAATTTGGCAAGTCAGTATTTTTTAAGGATGATATTATTAAATAGAACCCATTAAAGGATTTAAGGGGCTATACATGCCTTACATCATTTACTCACTAAGAGGTATACATTTGTCCATCAGTGTAGATATATATGGTTTTTCAGGCTCCCATTTATGAAATCTTGGAAATCATTTTCAGTAGGGGCAGCTTTTAAGCCCTGTGCTGATTTTTATTAAACCTGCCCTAGATACCTGAAGATTCTTGGGTTCGCCTTACTCAAAAGACTGGGATCTTTTTTTTCTAGAATTCTTTTGGCAGACTATCTTTTAATCAAAATATAGGTAACTAATATATCTGTCTCACATTGACATAGAGCTGTCTAATGGCCTTTTTGTTTTCTCTACTACTTAACTTAGAATTAGCAAGCTGAGAAACTGTGTCAGTCTGCCTCTGCCTGTATGTAGACAGTTCCTCTTTCTGTTGATAGCCAATGCTTTATTCAGTTATTATACTGAAGTTGAAGCTCCTGTCAAGCCTTCCTTTCCCTTTTCCTGTAGGTGCCATCATTTTCTGTCTTCCCCATTTGTTATTTGCAAAGTCCTCAGGGAATCAGTCAGCTGAAACCATCACCAAATAAAGAACAGTAGATTCTAATAGCTAAAATAATACAACTTTTTCTTAGGAAACCCAAATTAATTGCATTGACTATTTTATTAAAATGAATAATGTAGCTTCCAGGTTTTACCTTTTAAGCTCTGTGTCAATGTTTAGTGATAGCCTAGCCCGTTGGCATTTCAGAACAGTAACTTGAAAATTTGACTTCCTATTTTTCTTCTTTAAAAAACCAACTTTCCAAACTTAATTATTGGCATTGCTTTGTTGCATCACAGAATTAGTTTAGAAAGTTACCCTGATAATCACTAGGGGATAGGCTCTCACTGGGAGTCCTTTGTGTGCATAAGCTAAGGGTAAGAATTCATAGCAAACAACTTTTACCCTGTTGTAAATATCAAATCAGGAAGATAAAGGAGTACTAGAGGGAAGAGACTTTACCTCAGGTAGACTAAAGAAAAAAATCAGGTAGCTTGTAAGGATTTATCCTTATTGATAAATACTTAGAAATGTTTCTGCCTTAACAAAGAAAATACTTAAAATGTAGTTAACAATTGGAGTAACAGTGGCTAGGTACACCATCCTCTTGAGTCTTTTTGTCCTTCCTTATGACAGCAGTAATATTTAAAAGAGAAATGAATAAGGGAAGTAGTGTACATGAATTATTAGCTTAAAATGAATAAGTCTTTAGGTCTTTTACTTGGCTACTTGATGATTTCAGTTAAGTCTTTATAGTGATTATTTACTTTCCTCTATTTATACCTGGTTTATAAATTGTTGCATTAAAATGTTCTTACTAAATAACATCAAGTATTTTGTGTTAGGAGTATCCCAAGTGGCTCAGTGGTAAAGAATCTGCCTGCCAAAGCAGGAGATGCAGGTTTGATCGCTGGGTTGGAAGAGTCCTTGGAGAAGGAAATGGCAACCACTCCAGTATTCTTGCCTGGGAAATGCCATGGACAGAGGAGCCTGGTGGGCTACAGTTTATGGGTTGGCAAAAGAGTCTAATACACCGTAGCAATGAAACAACAACAAATTTTGTGTTAGAAAAGGTGTCCAACATTTCCTAGGGTTATGAGATTCCACTTTTGAAGTTAGGAGTAAATCAGAACCAAACTATGAAACGATTTCTTCTCTCCTCCTCCAGGAAACTTGGATACATCATTAACACCCACTTATTAATAACCCAAAGGGAAAAAAATCAAGTTTCAAGAATTAACCATGGTGGGCTGCTTGTTAGATTGTAACTGGTTAGTGTGCTGTCTTGATAATTACACTGTAAGTACTTTGAGGATGTGAGCCCAAACTGTTGTGTAACCATACCAAATACATTTCTGAATAATTTGTACTTTAAGTACTTATGTAATTTATTATCTGATTGTATTTTGACCAATTCCAATTAAGAGTATCTAGTAGAGGATAATCAGAGATGCTGAAAATTAGAGGAAGTTTTAATGGCCTGTCATCTTTCCCAGGTGGCACTAGTGGTAAAGAACCCGCCTGCCAGTGCAGGAGACATAAGCGACCCAGGTTCAGTCCTTGGGTGGAGAAGATCCGTGGAGGAGGGCATGGCAGCCCACTCCAGTGTTCTCGCCTGAGAACCCCATGGACAGAGGAGCGTGGCAGGCTCTAGTCCAACAAAGTGTTGGACACAACTAAAGTGACTTAGCACCTCACCCTTTTTAGGACTGGATCTCAGAGTTAGAGGAAAACATAAGAATATGCTTATAAAATGTTCAAATGACATTAAAGCGGGAAGTCATAGCTATTATTAGATGATAACATTTGTGAATTTAACTGTCCAAAGTATGTGCAGAAATTCAGAAAGTGAAAGAACATGTATGTAAATTCAGGAAGGTTGAAACTTAAGCTGAATAGGTAGAGTAAAAAGTACCTAGATACACTAGTTGACTGTATTTTATAGTTACTGGTTAGCAGATGACAGGCCTGCCACAAAAGCTAATGTAATGTGAGGCAATATTTATATAACTAGAATAAATAGGAAAAGATGGTGACAGACTTACTGTACTTCATTTCTGTAGGCTGCTTGCTCTAAATACAAAGTTAACTAGAAAGTCTAATTTATATTCCACCTGGACAGCCAGGTGGGTATTTCAGTAGGAAGACTTGAGCTTATTTTCTGAAAGAAAATGGGTCCTCTGGGAAATAGCCCTGCCATCACTAGAAATAGTAAAGTGGTCTTCCTGGCTATTAGGAATGTTTGAGGTTCAGAGCCAGTTACTTTTCAAATCCCTACTATGCAGAATATCATTGCGCCACTTAGTTCTAAAGGAAGAAGGAAAAGAGATAAGAAAAGTTTTGAAATTGATCCACTTCATTCTATTTTGTCTTTGCTGCCCATTAGTTTCAGAAAACCTCAAAGAGCTCTGTATTTGTTTAAGAAATGGAGGCTTAACAGACCTTTGG